GCATTCGTTGGCTCTTTTTTCTCATTACTCTTTTCAAGAGTTTCCGGATCTATGAGAGAAAGAAAAGCGAAAGATGTACTGATTTGCCTTCCCTTAAAGAGTAAGGTCTACAGTCATTAAATGATCGACTCTTGGCCTTACTGTGTACAGGCTCGGTCGTCTTGGCTCTCTAACCTCAAAAAATACAACGCTCGCTCGGCGTACTTTTCAACCTACCTTGAGTTGTCTCTTCGACAGAGCTCTCCTTGTGATCCGACGATCGCATGCGTTTTTCAGCAGCTTCAGCAAGCTTTTTTGTTTTAGCTTCGTTCATTAAAAATATGAGAGCGTCTTCGACGACTTTCATGCGCTTCTCGAGCGGGCTATCGACATCATCGCGAAGATTCGACTTTTCACGATACATTCGCTCTTCTCTATCACGACTCCTGTCCCTGCTTCTCGATGAACGTTTACGCTTGTGTTTCGACATCTTTTCCACTTCGAAACGTTAATAATTAACAAAAATTGTTCTGTTTCTTTCAACACAAATCTCTATACGTGCGCACTGTGCACGACAACGAAAAACAATGACGGAATCGCGCGCGCCACTCGGAAGGAACGGCAGGGAAGGACGGTAGCGCGCTCAATTCAAATCTCTTAACGTTGTGTAATGTGACGTCACGAGGACTACTACATGTAATCTCGAAGAACGAGGTTCCAAATATAAACGAGTATTGTTAATAATCTATAAAATAGACGCCTGCCTATATACGCTCATCAGCGCTCGGTCGCTTATGGGAGCGACGCTCGCAGGCAGGCGCCACCTAGTGGTGTGAAACGTAACCACTTGTTTTATAACAATATATTTGGAATTAATGCCGAAACCTCTCAGTTCCATTTTCGCTAAGATCACTATAGTAGGCATTTCAATATCTATAATTAAGCTAAAAAAATGCATCGTACAAAAATAGCTGTATCCCAGCGAATCTTGCGAATTTTTAACTTCTGAACCCAGCGTTGGAAAGGTGAGAAAAAAAACTATCAGATAGTTTCATGCAATTTTTTCCATAGTTGATTCTACGTAGCCATTTCCTGGAAGAAACTAATACACTTTTCGATTTTTCAATTTTTCGTAATGTCGTTTTTTGGGATAAAGTTGTATTTTTCTGCATTAAAAAAATTTCAAAGTGTATACTAATTTATACCATTGGATTCGTCATAAAAAATCCTAAATTTTGGTGGTGTCAAAAATTTTTTTAGATTTTTTTTGTTCATTTGCCACTCGCTCGAAAATGAACTTTGCGGAATTTGCGAAAAAGAACGATCGAAAAAGTGTATTTTTTTGAATGAAATTGCGCTCCTAGGTCATAACTGACTACGGCATTCGATTTTGCAGAGAAAAACACATAAGAAAATGTATTGTCAAGACTATTTTTACACTTTAAACAGAGTTTGAAATAAATCGAATGATAGCCCGATTTCGCTTCTTTTTTGGAGCACGTTTTTGAACTTCAAAAATCCATCGACACCATCTAAAATCATTTTTTTGGGTTCTAGTTTACGGGAAAATTCATTTTAAACCTCAAACTTTCTGATTCCCCGATGGATCCCCCGAGACATAAAAAATTTTAGAAAAAGTGGACCACCCTAATATAGATGCAGTATGCATGATATATTGATGCGGCTTACAATAGGTTGTGATTGCTCCTCGCTATATGTACTCGTGACTTTCAACGATGATTCCATGTGGGTATAAAGAACAAACCTCAAACCATGTAATTTGGAATTGCAACGCTCATAACCAATGGCGGTTTATGGAGTATGTCAATCACGACATGGCGTGGAGGCGGCAAATTTTGGAACAATTATTAAACTTTTTTATTATTCACATGTAAAATAAAAATTCCTCGAAGTAACTGTCGTCAAATTAGAATGTTGAATTGTTTCATGTGTCGTGAAAGAAATGTATAAATAGATAAATCGGTAACTTAATTGTAAACAATATGATAAACGATTTTGACTTATAGTCTCTCATAACTATGATCATGTTCACAGTGAAAATAAATTAGTTTGAATTTTGTCTTTCCCTATGTAACAAACCATCATACCAAAAGATAAATTTTACTTATTGAATTTCCGTATCATTAAATAGTCTAAACCATATTATATTCAGGTACCTAAATGGATAAAAGTGAAAATGAAACCGATCAAGTTGTTTCAAGAGATAATTCAAGAGAAAACGACGATGTTGTTTCAGACGACAAACAACACGTTTGTGATATTGTTCAGGAGGCATTCACACTTGGATCAAGTATGAATACACACCAAGACACAATTCATAATAAACAAAAAATTTACACATGTGACAAGTGGGAAAAGAAATTTAAGTTCCGAAGTCATTTGAGTAGACACCAAATATCGGTACACAAAGGCCGCAATGATTTTGCATGTGACAGGTGCGAAAAAATATTTATGAAACAATCGAGTTTGTCCATGCACCAAAAATTGGAACATAAAGATCAAGAAGATTTCACATGCAAAAAATGCGAGAGGAAATTTGAAAATAAATCAACTTTAGTTAAACACAACAAAATATTCCACGAAGTTTTCAAAGACTACTTATGTGAAAAGTGCGCGAAAAGATTTGGAAATAAACAGAGCTTACTTGTGCACATAACGACAGTCCACGATGGTCGCAAAGATTTTGCATGCGACAAGTGCGAGGAGAAATTTGAATTCAAATCACATTTACTTTTGCATAAAAAAATAGTACATGGAGGTCGGAAATATTATGCATGTGACAGAGGCGAAAATCAATTTGCACAAAAATGGAATTTGCGTATTCACCAAAAAACAGTCCACGAAGGTCTGAAAGATTATGCATGCAATAACTGCGAGAAGAAATTTGGGGATCAAAGCAACTTGGGAAAACATCAAAAAATAGTCCACGAAAGTCGCAAGGACTATGCATGTGACAAGTGTTAGAAGAAATTTGGACAAAAATCACATTTGCTTATACATGAAAAGACAGTCCACGAACGTCGCAAAGATTTTGCATGTGACAAGTGTGAAAAAAATTTTGGACAAAAATCAACTTTGATTTTGCACTTAACAACAGTTCACGAGGATCGCAAAGATTACTCATGCGACAAGTGCGAGAAGAAATTTGGACACAAACGTACTTTGCTTTCACACCAAAAAACAGTACACGATGGTCGTAAAGATTTCGCATGTGACAAGTGCGAGAAGAAATTTGGACAAAAATCAAATTTGTTGAAACACCAAAGAACAATTCATGAAGGTCGGAAAGATTTCGTATGCAACAAATGCGAGCAGAAATTTGGACTAAAAAGGAATTTGATCCGGCACCAAAGGACAGTACACGAGGGTCGGAAAGATTATTCATGCGACAAGTGCGAGAGAAAATATGGAAGTAAATCAGATTTGTTAAGGCACCAAAGAATAGTACACGAAGGTCGCAACGATTACACATGCGTCGAGTGCGAAAAAAAATTTGGACAAAATCGAATTTGCTCGTTCATCAAAGAACAGTGCACAAATGTTGAAAAGATTTTGCTCGTGATAAGTGCGAGAAGAAATGATGACTGAAAATTTTAAATATACTTATATAATGTTTAAGTACAAAATTTTAATATAAATAGTTCTAAAATGATTGAGTCTTACGTGAATTTAAATATCATATTACACCTATGTTCATTGTCATTGTGGTGTTTTCGGTCTTCACGTACAACTAATTACTACTCTATGTTCATTTTTGGCAGCCATTCATGTAACTATCAACCAAGAGTTTTCTTACCCCTTTTTGGAATTGTGAATAGAGCGAGGATTAGTTGGCTAATGGGTTTTGGATAAATCTCTCGTAACGATATGCGAGTCTGAATTGAGCAAACATTCACTAGTAAACAATTTTGATCAATTTGCTGACGGACTGATTATTCCTAGTTCCTACTAAAAGAGGTGTGATCAATAACAAAAACTACCAAAAAATCAACCTAAAAACCATATAACAATTTTATTTAAACCAAAAAATATTTTCTAAATTTCTTCAAAATTAGTATTATTTGATACTTTTCTAGGTACTAATTAATTTATCAATAATAAAAGTTTGGTTAGTTTATATTACTGTTCATACATGAAAATATCATCTTTCACGAGCAAGCTCTTTGCCAATGGGCAGTGGTTTTTTTCTTTTAATTGAGTGCTCGAAAAAACTCGGGTAAGGGAAATTCAAGTACTCGATTCGATCGAATCGAGTTTAGTCAACTCACTCGTAATCTTTACGCCAAATCCAAGCGAAAAGAAAAATATTGCCTGTCAAGCGTCGCATTATCGAGAGGGTGTGTGATTCGAGTATACCTAACGACAAAAGACAATCGCCACCATGACAAGTAAAAATTGTCGGCAATCGGTGCCGCGCATCGTGCACATCGCGTGGCTCTTCACATGAATATTCATAATGTCATGCAAATATTTATTTCTCGTGTATGTACTAGCAAAAACTGTATCGCTCGAAACGTACACGATACATACGTACAAATCACACGTACGCAAAGTTACTTCCACGCACACCCTTTTATTTCGAGCGACGTCCCTGCATATAGCCTCAAACGCAGTTTTGATTCATACATGAGACAGTGCAGCCGCGCGCTCAGTTTGTCTCCGCGGCTTCGTATTCTCTATAGATATAAGCAGCTGCGTATACGCCCATGTGCCCAGTGCACCTGTACTGTATAACATGTATAATATAAAATCGGAGCGGCTCTCGGTCGTAGCAGACGACGCTCGAAATCCCCTCGAGATTCTCAAGTCACCGCCCACAACATCGCGTACATAGTGGCCGTTTCTGTCGCGCGGCTGGCGGCGTCGAGCGAGTCCCATTACTGCACGGCTCGCAAATCGTTTGTACGAGCCTTGGCCTCGGCATTGCAGGTCTACCTTAATGCTCCACCGCAAGCTGTCTTTCTCTCTCGCTCTTTCTCTCGCGTAATATAGGCGTCTGCGAGAGAGAGCCTGCGCGACTCCGACTCTTCGCTAACGGTGCAGTGTATGCTTAATGTATACACACGCCGAAACTGCTATTGTGTGTTACGTCCATGTGTGTACATAGTCGAGAGACACGGGAAAAAGTCTTGGGCTGCTGCTGCTGCTGTGCCGTGCGCGTGTGTAAGTGTTGCTGCCGTATCCGCGCCCATCTCTCTACCTCGTCGTCGTCGTACAGTCCCCGTGTACGTGTTTATTAGTACGACTGTTTAGTATATACGAGAGAGAGAGAGCGAATATTTGGCAAAAATTATTTACCTCTCTCTCTCTCTCTCTTGCGCGCGCGTGCACAGACGGACAGACAGGCAGACAGTGCAGTGTGTGTACACATATTATATAGAGTATAATAACCCCGCGAGGCGCCGAGTTAGGCATCGTCGTTGGTCGTGATTGACCGAAGATAAGAGGAGCACAGCACAAGGGCCAGCCAAGGGGAAAACTCGTGGGGACTCACACACACTCTCTCTCTCTCTCTCGCCCCGCAAGATCCATATTGACGACGAGAAATAACGTTTTTAATTATAGAAGGTCGGCTCGTTGATGCTATATATACAGTACACGGTGTGCTACTCTAAATGTCAATGTGAGTGTGTGCTATATAGTAATAGTGGTATATGTAATATGTATATTATTATTGAATCCTCGCGCGTCTACTGCTGCTGCTACTAGCCTTATTACATATTAATAAATTTAATCAATTTGCTCGCGCATATTATATGCTCGTAGTAAGCGAACGCACGACATCGACAACGTATACATTGCGCGAAATGTCCGAGCAAAAGTAAGTTTTTTTCGTAGTTTTTTTTTCTTTCTCCTCCTCTCGAATCATCGTCATCGACACTTACACGCGTCGATAATAATAACATTAATAATAACAAAGTATGTAGAGTTTGCTAAAAGATATAGCGCCTCTTCGCGTTAAGATCGGGGCCAACGCGCGTGTGGTGTTGTTTTTTAATATATACATAGTATATAGTCTTTATAAAATACTCTTGTGCTACTGCTGCTGCTGCATGTGTGTGTCGTTGCACACACGTAAGCGATGAGCGAATCGAAGCGAGAGAGCGATAACGCACAGTTCGCGAAAGCATGAATATAAATTCGCCGAAGAGACACGGGGCCACGCGTGCTAATGTATAGATATCGAAGCTAGGTTATCTCTCCGTCGCGGATTATAACATTCGCGCGAGTACACGTTATATACGTATGCTGCACACATACGATCAAGCCCGTTTCGCAACGTCGCAGCTGATGATTGCATACGTATGTGCCGCGCGGACGAATGTATGTTATAATGTTCCGAAGGCAGTAGCAGTAGACATTAGTAGGTACACACACACACGACAAAACTCGGAGTTTGTACATGTAGTTAGTGTTTTAATAAAATATAAGAAGGTGGCACACACACGCATAGGCTGTCTTAATGCTGCACAAACATTATTAATATTATAAACGTCTTCCTATTGTGCTCGTGATGTACACTATACGGGTCAATTTTGCATCTCTACTTTTCGCTCTCTCTCTTATTCTTTTACCGTTGCGCGCGGCATTGATGTTACAAAATTGACGTTTAGCCCGACGAATAGCAATAGCAGCAGTAGCAGACAAGTACCAATACGTATCGCGCGTTCTCATGCTGTATACACATAATTGCGCTCGTGACGCTTAAACCTTTTACGAACTTTGTGTGTATGTGTGTAGTGCATCGACGAATGGAAAATAGTTTGTGCTGCAATAGCCGTCCGATAAATAAGTAAAAAAATCACGCGAGCTCTAGTACATAGCATTGAAATAAAAAAAATACATCTGTTGTGGCTGTGTCGAGTGGTTTACCCTTTAAAAATTTAAAAACGGAGTCTTGTATACGGAGTACGCGTGCACGATGTATACGTTCGTCACTGTCTACGTTTGAATTAGTTCGATGCAGGAGTTTTGCGAATATAATTCTCGGAGCACTGAGTCAGTTTGTGCGTATGCAGTGTGTGAAATGATTTGAAAAAAAAAATTACAAAAATAACCTAAGCCCACGATCTGGCGAATACTCGAGCGGTATAGACATTTATTTTAGATAATGAAACAGTCACGACTGCCGACGCACACGATCCAAAGTCATGCTTAGCAGTAGTAGCTCATGACTCGGCTGATTTCGTTTTGCATTCGGTCGCTTTATCAAAAAAAAAATTCTTCTTTCTTTTCTTCTCATTGATGATCATTAAATATAACAAAAGTATCGTAATTCTGCACCATGATTAGCTCCATGAAGAACAAGTACAACCTGTGCGTGTTCGCGTCGCTCGTACTGTGGGCGGTGGTCACGTACTTTCTGCTGCTGAATCCGCCGCCGAACATCGACAAGAAGAAGCACAAACAGACGCAGAGGCAGCAGCTGCGCGAGCTCCAGGCCGAAATGCGCGACCTGATCGAGAGCAACAATCAGTTCATCAATCGGCTGCGACTCGAGCAGCTCCAGGCCTACGTCAACCGGACCAAACAGCTCGGCTCGTTGGGCCTTCCACTCGATCAACAACAGCAACATCAGCAGCAGCAGCAGCAGCAGCAGCAGCATCAACAGGACGTCAATCGCAGCCACAACAACGCCACGGACACGAAGATGTTCAAGCAGCTGAGCACTCGGCGGAGGCTGAGCAACGGCCAGCCGGTGATAGCCGTGCTGGTCCTGTCATGCAATCGGGTGACGGTGCGGCGCTGCATCGATCAGCTGCTCAAGTATCGCAGCAGCGCCGAGCAGTTCCCGATCGTCGTGTCGCAGGACTGCGGCCACCAGCAGACGAGCGACGTGATCGAGAGGTACGGCGACCGGATCTTCCACATCAAGCAGCCCGACCAGAGCGACATCGACGTGCCGCCGCGCGAGAAGAAGTTCAAGGGCTACTTCAAGATCGCGCGACACTACGGCTGGGCCTTGAACGAGATCTTCTTTCGCTTCAACTTCGACACGGCCATCGTCGTGGAGGACGATCTCGACGTGGCGCCGGACTTTTACGAGTACTTTTTAGGCACCCATCCGATCCTGGAGGCCGACCCGAGCCTGTGGTGCGTCTCGGCCTGGAACGACAACGGCAAGCCCGAGCTCATCGACGAGCGCGGCCCCCACCGGCTCTACCGCACGGACTTCTTCCCGGGCCTCGGCTGGATGCTGACTCGACGGCTCTGGGAGGAGCTGGCGCCCAAGTGGCCCAAGGCCTACTGGGACGACTGGATACGCCAGCCGGAGCAGCGCAAGGATCGCGCCTGCATCAGGCCCGAGCTGCCGCGCACCAAGACCTTCGGCAAGATCGGCGTGAGCAACGGCATGTTCTACGAGAAGCATCTCCGGTTCATCAAGCTCAACGAGCAGTTCGTGCCCTTCACCAAGATGAATCTGAGCTATTTGTTGCGGGACATCTACGACGTGGACTTCGTCGATCAGGTCTATCGGGCGCCGATAGTCTCGCTGGCCGACCTCAAGAGCAACGACCCGCGCAAGGAGCTGCCCGCCAACGAGGTCCGTGTGCCGTACTACTCGCGCCAGCAGTACCGCACGCAGGCCAAGATGCTCGGCCTCATGGACGACTTCAAGAGCGGCGTGCCGCGCACCGGCTATCGCGGCATCGTCAGCTTTCATTATCGCGGCTACAGGGTGCACCTGGCACCTGGCTCCAGCTGGACTGGATATGATATATCCTGAAGATAAAAATTTTATGGCCAACGAAAAGGCGAAACAACAACAAAACAACAACAAAAACAACAAAACGTACATTGTATAGGTAAATTACGCACACTCGTATATTATATAGATATTATAAGCATAGATAGACAAAAGTTTCACCGCTTGAAACTTTATACAGATGTGGTATATTATATATTGTAATTCTGATAAATGGGAGCTGTTATATGCCTTCGAGAGAGCCAAAGATGTGTTAGGCCTTACGCGTACATAGGTAGCATTATTATTGTATTAGTACCGTAGAGTACAAAAGAGCGAACCATAACGCGTCGATTGTAAGTTTGCTTTTCGTCTCTTTCGTTCGTACTTGTTCGTTTTTTTTTTCGTCTTCGATGATAATCGAGAGAGAAAGAGGGATAGATACTAGATCGATTTTTAGTCCAAAAATAATGGAATTGAAGCTATCGCGTGTTTATGCGTGTTTCACTTGTGTCGTCGAGCTAAAGATATACAATTTTCTAATGTCAAAAACGTTATAGGTATTCATTGTAAATATATTTTAGGGCGATGATTGTACATGTTATTGATATGCGATATCCTTTAGTAACTATTGTTGACAATATTTTTAGCGATTAATCACAAAACGATAGAGATACCGCTTAGGAACGGTATACGATTGAGTTTTTCTCTATTCACAATGTGTTTTTGAGTTTTAAAATTAATTTTTAAGTATCCAATATTGATATAGATATAATAAATCGGAGTCAGTTCAAACGAGAAAGAAAAATTGCTTTGTCAAGCAAAACACAAAATCGAAGGAACATCCTTAGAACTAAAATTCCTAATAGTAAGACTGACTCAGTGCCTCTGACAATAGCATGTGATACAAAAGGCTGTGTATACTACTATTTAATATCTAATCGCTTTGACTCTAATTATTGTTGTAAAAAAAAAGTGAAGCGACTAACTGTGCGCAAATTTCCGTACCGTATCGATGTCTACCATTTAAATCGAATAATCATTTTAAAGTTATATGAAGTTAACGAAATGATTATGATTTTTTTATCTTTAAAGTGTGTTATAATCGACTGTCTTGCCGTTTAAATTATAGAATTGTAGTAAAAATCAAATTTACTTGCAAAGTATTAAGTTGGCAGCTTACCAAATTTGAATATTTTTTACTTCGACAATTGTATATTGTATAAAGAAAAAAATAATGACATCGCAAGCTTTGTTCGCAGTAAATCTCGAGTTCGATTTATTATTCCGCGCTACAAGTTTGATTATTGTTAATTGTTTGCGCAAGAAGTATGTACGTGTATGCGCATCAAAATGCGCTGCGATATAATCGCGTGCGATTTTATTTACTTTTTATAGACCTCTGTAAACTGTGTCGTGAATCATTGTCGAACCGGCTTGAGAGTAAATAAAATCGAGTGCATACATTTTTAATGATATCGGTAGTGGGTGCATGACTTCGCAAACGTAATTGAATTATGTAAATGATTAAAACTACAATCGGGAATTGAGAGCATTGTGAATTCGATGCACGCAGATGCTTTAATTAATTATTGTTTCAAATTGAAAAGTTTTGATTCTCTGTACTGTTTATTTGGAGCATCAATGAAGATTCAAAAATTCACCGAGTCGCTGCAACGAAATATCGATGCGTGAGTATAAAGAGTTTAATTATGAAAAAGTTATAATAAAATTAATTTAATTCACACGGAATATTTTATCTACAGATGACGAAAAATCAAATGTTCGACGTTCTCGTAAAGATATCTGGGATATGTATGTAAAAAAGTGCAAAAAAGGCAAGATAGAGAGAAGAAAAGAGGGTCACACGCTGCACTTTCTGTAAAGAAGAAATACCTCCTTTGAATTCAAATTCGATATCTACTCTTTCAAAAGTAACAAGACAAGCATCCGATAAGCTTCTACATATTCAGTGTATATGATATGTGTGTGTGTGTAGATACAGATAGGTAGATTTATAGATGTATAAACGACGTAATACATCGTATCTCAGAATTACTCCGAATCGAAAATTCCCGTTCACTGGCTTCCTTTTCACTGTATTTTCTTTACATTATTGATGTTGGAGAATATCGAAACGTGTGTATGAAACATTTTTTACGTTTTTTCTAATTACCTTAATTACGTTACTTTTAAGATTATACACGAATTTTTACGAGGTATTGTTTGCATTGTTAAACGGGTTTTTTAGCAAGCAAACGAGGCTTTTATTAGCCCAAGTCCAGGTCCTGATGAACATAAGTATATTTCAATTTGTGCTAGTGTAACGTATGAAAAATAAATAGAGTATTTCTCGAAAAAGCAGGATATGGTATTATTGTACATCGCTGACTATTGTATAATAAACTATAAATAATTTGTACATTAAAATGATTGGTAATGTTTGCTTATTTCCTTATACTTCCATTTCAGATCCTTCACGTGCAATCATGAATTTCTGTTAAAATTAAATAAATTTTCCGGTATACACATAATTTTCCTCTGTACTGGGAATACATTTTTTTTGCTTCGAATTAAAAAACCTATGAATATGAAATCAAAGTTATAATTTTGTAAAACTTCACTGTACAAAAAAAAGATTCACGCTGGGAACTTCTTTGAAAGTGTATATTGGCTAGGTATACCGCGGTGGTATATAATACGAACGTGGGTGGTGAGCAGCGGTAAAATAAGCGAAAAAAAGAATCAAGCGACGTCGAAAATCGAATGACCGAGAAAACTTCTTGCACCCAGAGAGAGGAGGAAAGTCAGCGAGCCACACTCGAGAGATGATTTTCTCGCAATGATTATTCCGCAAGATGGAATTTTCTTTTGCCGAGTATACAGGCGAGATAAAAATATTCATGGCTCGTTTCAGAAATATACGCTCATTTTCCGCGATGGAAAAATTGAAACTGCTTTGGTGATATTCATGACCTCGGGCAATTATAAAGGCAAATAAATCGATTCTCGCGCGCGCTCGCCTGTCAAATCTCATCTTCATATCAGTGTCATAATTTTATGAAAATGCGAAGAAATAAAAATTAAAAGGAAAGAAAGAGAGATCCTGTATTCGACATCGTTGCGCGAAATATTTCTAACTACAATGAATAAGTCGACTGTAAATCTATTTCATTGAAAAATGAATATAAAATAACGCACACGATACGGTAGCATGTGCGTGAGTTTATTAATACGAGAAAACGCGAAATTTAATCTACGTCTATACGCACACAAAAGAAGCATGAAATAAAAAATAAAAAAAAAACGAGGCCGAGGAAAGAGGCTGGCGCAACTGCATTCGCGAACCCGCGCGCGTACTTACAAGCACTCTCTCTGTTCTCTCTCATATCCTTCGTGCAGCTCCTTCTTCGTTTCTAAGCTCTTCGTCAATGACGACACAAAAAAGGGAGAAAAAGACGTTCTTTTATATATATCCACGCCGCGCCTCAGCCCTGTTTGTATACTTATATCTCGACTTGGCCTCACGATACTCCCTCGCAACGGTATTACCCTTTTTCAACGAGTAAGCTCGTATGTACGTGTGTATATACGTGTATGTGCACACGTGTAACGCCTTTTTTCAGACGCGAGATGCGTGCGTGCTCGTTAGCATATTTATATTTTACAAAGCCGCGTGCAGTTTCTTTTTTGCGCTTTGAAGCGAGGATTTGTAATACTTTTCGCAAGAAAAGGGAAAATCAATTCAAGCTCAGCAGAAAGCTCGATCGGCTTTTCAGTCAATTATTCAACGAGTTGACTTTTTGTATATGTTTCATGAGTCACAACGGACGCTAAATGTTTAGTGTCACTCTTGGGGGGAAAAATAGTACTTTCTTGTCGCTCTTCATCCTGTTTATTATTATTATTTTTTTCTTTTAAAACACGAGTACCCACTTTAACAAATTTGGTATTTTTTACAGGCTGCCTTCGTTTTAGCAGAGAAGTACTTTAATTCGTCAAGTTTTCTTACCCGAGTGTCGCTCGAATTTTTGCGAAACATAAATTTTACACTTATACGACGTTGTAAACGTCGAATTGAAGCCATGAAAAAAAGAAGTCAACTTTTTCATTGCATTCTTTTTGTTTTTATATATTAAAGGTAAGTTTATTTGGTCGAGTATTTTCGTATAGGCGAGATATCATACACATGCCGAGACTCGACGTTGAGTTTCTAAACTGCTTTTTTATTCAGCAACTGATACATACGAAAGGAAAATTACATTTAGAAACGGAAAAATTTCGATTCCCTCTCAAAGAACAAAAAGATATACGTAATATTCGCATCTCTGTAATGGAATGTGAATCAGATTCCGTAATAAATTTTGCGTAGAATTTCCATGCCTGCCCGTATATGAAATACCCCTCAGATATCCGCGATGAAAAAAAATTGATCGTGTACAACGCGATTGTGTGTATAAAATACAATTCCAATTCCGATCCATCGAAACCGTGAGAGAGATGGGAAAGAGTCCGCGGAGCGGGTGCAGGGGATTTACCAACTTTTTTGATCAGTGCGTATGTAATAAAAATATGAATATGCTCAGGAAAAAGAAATCGATTTTTATTGTCGCGTGCAAGATAAGTTTCTTGAATAAAAAAAAAAGAAGTAAATTAGACGTTACGCCGAGCGAGAGTGAGAGAGAAGGCAAAATACATACATATTGGCGGCAGTATAGTAGCAGGCGTTATCGGCTTTTTGCACGACAATAGGCCTTATCGACTTTTTACGAGCCAAAATACACTCGAGCATCGAATAGAGCTATTTATTGACATCGAGTTGATTTTTATGTGGTTCATGCTGTGTATAGATCCGTGAGATTAAATATAGATTCGCTTCGGCTCGAAAGTTCAATTATCATAAGTGTGCGTTTTGCGGCCGCATAGGTGTACTCGATTCGCGCATACATTATGCTTCATTATAAGAGCGCCGGGCCGCACACGCGCGACCATTTTTATGCAGCTGTGTCGCGCACCTATGGTCTTTGTACAGTAAAAATCATGGCAAGTATCGAATCGTTCGAACAAGTGTGTAAGTATATATGTACGTGTAAATAGAAAAATAACATTCGTTGGGAAAACATTTCATTTAGCCTTGCTGCACAAAACAAAAAACAAACACTCGTATACAGGCACACGTACACGTGTCCAATTATTCTCTCAGCTTATGGAGCGGCAGAGTATACACTTGTATGTGTCTATAATATAGTGCGTGTACCGTGTGTACTCGATGCACGGCATTAACACGGACGCTCTATATAAACAACAAAATCACTCGGCAAATAAAAGCTCCATCATACCATCGATATGCGCACGCGAGTCTGTGTGTGTGTGTGTATATAATATCGGAATAGTTTCTATTTCAAGGGAGAAAGAGAGTGAGATGGACAGCTGTACGCGCGGGCGCGTTCGCGTTTTGTTTCAACGGCAACATATTCGAAGTTGGTAAATATACCACGGAGCTAGTAACAATGAGAATCGTGTATACATGTACGCGCGTGTGCAGCGGAAATGAAAGAGAGAGAGAGAGGACGAAAAAAGAGGAGAAATATAGATCCACGCCGAACTTTGATCGAAAATTGAAAAGAGACGACGAAAAAAAAAAAGAAATAAAAAAAATTGAGATAACCTTGGGACTAGAGTCAATACACAGCGTGTTTTTTAAGTAACTCGATTAAAAGGCTAAGCACGCGAACCATCGAGAAAACGTTATACTACTCTTTCGGGCGCGCTTCGAAATTGACCGAGGAGAGCGACTGAAGCGCAGACGAGGTAGCAAAATCAACAAAAAGTATAGCGGTATAGTAACCCTGCGAATTACGACGAGTCATTCGGTTGATTAAAACTCGACAGGGAATCGAATTGATATTTGCTCGAACTTCGCATTAATAAGCGCGCGAGGAGGGCAAAGTTCAACCGAGAGCAGAAAAAAAAAATTAAAACTAACAAACTTTGTGTATTAAGCTTGGCATCTAGGCTGTGTGATAATCGAACTTGGCGAAACGGCAGAATTAACGCCGGGGTCTAACTAATTTTTGAATGAACAGTACCGAATGCGATCGCGTGATGCAACGTCGAAAACGTCATTTACAAGGTGCACGTAAATGTATATCCACTAAAAGCTGTTAAAAATAATCGATACTTGTGATTTTCAGCTGCTCCTTGCGGATATTTCTATTTGTCAGTTCTGAACCAT